TAAGCAGATATAAGTGTTTATTAATATATCTTTCAACAACTATAAGTCGTTAGATTCTAGTGTAATAAAGAGATAATAAACGACTATATACAGTAAAACACAGTTGCAATAATATACAATATGTCATCAGAGGAGAAGTTATTATTGTTGACAAATACTGTACATTAATAAACACAAACAATTCCACAGAACTGCATTATAGTAAATATTATAACTTACTGACTACTACTACTACTACTACTACTACTGGTGCTTAAAGTGTGTGAACTGAGGAGTAGGATTGGGTATGAATACATGTTTTTGAATTCCTGAAGAAATGTGATTTTACAATCAGCTTATAGATTCCTGAAGGCAAAGATTAGACCTACTGAGCATCCGTCTACGCTGCTGCTTACACACAGGTCAATGTACGTGTGTGTTTAAAATATGGTGAATCAGACGTGGCTACAGCTTTAAGGGTCATTCACACCAAGAATGATAATAACTATAACTATAACTTAATATATGTAGTTCTGTAAAATTTTTCAAACTTGAGTGGATAAAAAATTACACTGACAAATGATGTCTTTGGGATCACTTTCAGAGCAATTTGCAGCCGTATTTTAAACTGCAAACTGCACATAAAAATATAATTTTACGAGACACTGTCAAACCATCTTTAGCGCTGGTCCTCTTCTTTACTATTTTTGAATAAAGTTTGTCTTCAAAAGACAACAAAGCTTGTAAAAGAGTGTATCCTAATGGTTTTCTTAGTCTTTCTCTGCACAACGTACACAACATTTATCATTCATCATTATCGTTATGGCCCTTTAGACAGTTATATGTCGATGATGTCCATCTAAGACCTCCTCAGCAGGTATAAAGATGCCGCTTTTTTGACATCCTCTAATGTAGTCAGAATGCAGTCTGAATGGTAACAAAATACACTCAGTTGACAGTTTACTTGGTCCACCTACCTAAGACTAATGCAGTTTAATAGAACAGTCCTTCAATAAATCATAATTTAAACCAACTTTAAGGAGTTTTTAACCGAGAACAGCGAGAAGATTGGTTATTTATATACAGTTATTCCTAATGCCTGCCATCAGGTCGGTGGAAACACTACCGCTTTTGTCCACAGAGGCCGCCAGAATCAACACAAAATGATTTCCTTGTTCCTGCTTTAGTGAATGGTGTAATGTTCAGGTTTTGTTGAAACCGGTTCAGAGAGGTGTGGTTCCATTTTGGAGGATGTATTTTGTGCTGCTGTTGAGTTGAATAGTCTTACACAGAGGAGTGTTTCTAATATTTTGCCCACCCTCATTGATATAAAGGATATTCAGTCCTCTTTTGTGGTATTTACCAGTTAACGGACCAAAAAAACAGCTGAATATGTCAATCTATTCAGACTTTATTTCGTTCAGCTTAGCTTTCCAAAACATGAGGAAGTGCTGGTTTTCACATAACGACATCGGCCTCTAAAACTTTGCCCATAAAACTTTGTGTTTCCGGATGTTTTTACTGCAGTTGGTCAACTTTAAAATGAACAAAATCACAGCTCTGAACTGACGCGCCACCGCTTGAACATGGCCAAAATAAGCTTTACTAAAGTAGTAAACACTCCTCAGTTTGAATGAACGGCTGCATGTTTCATGTGAACACACCTTAAGTCATCTCAAGTGTGATTTTCATATCAAACGCAGAGGACAAACAAATGGATCTAAAATCTTCAAACAGACTTTCTCTGGTCCAGTTACTTCATTTTTATGTATTATATGTCAACTCTTTTGTATGATTTGAAATTCGAGGAACAATACACACACACACACACACACACAGACACACACACAGACACACACAGACACAGTCTGTGCTGCCAAAACTGAAAGTGGAGGGCGGGAGGCAGGAATCCAGACTATTGTATCTCTATTATGAGCTGACAATTGGGTCTGCAGATCTTTTTACAGACAGAAAACCGGCCGGTACAATTATTCCTTCATTGTGAATCACAGAGAGTAAAGAAGGCGTGGAAATACCTGCGCCTAACTTATTACAATCTGCTATATCATCCTCGGGCTGGATTCTCAAAACCTCTAAGGAAATGAAAGAACTTGGTTTCATAAAGAACTGATACTCATCAGAACAGATTTATCTATTTTTAACTTCGGGATAAGAGGGATTTTTGAAAAATGTGATCTTGAATGCTCTTCAGAGTGGATAGATCTAAAGTCTCATACAAGTAACGAGAAAATCTGAACATACTGTGATATGAGACTGTTCACATTTGTGGTTGAGACTCCTGTATAGCACAGGCAAACTGTATGTAGACGTAGACTGAAGTCACTAATTTGATGAACTTATCTATCTCAAAATGTAGAACTTTTGCTTTAAACTCTGTAAAGAAACAAGCGTGTGTACTTCGACTTCCCCGAATCTGTTTCTATCAGTAAATATTTGTTTGTCCTCAGCGGCTCAGGGTCTGCAGAGCCGACTGAATAAACCTGCATCTATATCTGTGTGTGTATATGTGTGTGTGTGTGTGTGTGGGTGTGTGTTCAGACATTCCTGACCCCACTCAGGGCTCCCAGACACACAACACGGCTTTCAGGAAGCCTGTTTAATATTCACACACACACTAAACAACTACCGCCGTCCTGCACAGTGCTCTTGTTTTCATCAAGATGCTCGAAGAAAAACATGAATGAATGAAGTCGTATAAATAATCCCGAGTGTGAATTTCAATAGATTGAATAGTGTGTGTCTGTGTGTGCGTCCGTCTGTCCACACACCTCAAACTGTGGCCAGTTCATGCTCATGCCCGGTCCGTGGGTGTTCCTCCACCATCTGAGATCCTCAGCGTCATTGGCTGCTTGGATGGTCTGACCCAGGTCCCGGTACAGACTTTTGAACCTATTGGACAAAGCAACAGTCAGTTATCACATCTTCACATCTACACATCTTCACATCTACACATCTACACATCTA